TCCTGTTTTTTCCTGCTATTTGGAAAACAAGCCTCCATTATGTCTTACACATGAAGACTCTGACACCCTATTTTCAACTGCTCACAAGGCACATCTCCACCTGGACAAATGTCTTAGAAATTTCCCAGGATCCAAATCCACAGTTTCCAGTGCCTGCCGTTCACTCTCTCTGTGACCATCCAAGAGCCCACGTGACCACCTTGGGACTGTGGTCATTGTTTGTGTTGCTGGCCACCCCCCAATAACCATGAACAACTAGAGGGAAGAGGCCCAGCTTCCTCATCCTTTGGCATAAGATTTAGTACAATTGTAATCAATCAAAAACCATTTCTCTGAACAAATGAATCATTAGCTGAGGTTACACCTGTCTGAATTTTCTTTCCTTAAAAATGTATGAGTTGGTGAAGCAAAACTGAAGGAACAAAACAGCAGCAGACTCACAGACTCCAAGAAGGGACTAGCAGTTACCCAAGGGGAGGGGTGGGAGAGGGGGGTGGGGAGGGAGGGAGAAGGGGATTGAGGGGTAGTATGATTAGTACACATGGTGTGGGGGTCACAGGGAAGGCAGTGTAGCACAGAGAAGACAAGTAGGGTCTCTGTGGCATCTTACTACACTGATGGACAGTGACTTCAATAGGATATGGGGGGGACTTGATAATATGGGTGAATGTAGTAACCACAACGTTTTTCATGTGAAACCTTCATAAGAGTGTATATCAATGATACCTTAATTAAAAAAAGGAGAAAAATGAGTTGGGCCATGGCCTCTGAACTGCTGAACAGGAAAGGACCTTATAAGCTGCTGTGTGACTTTCCTATTTTATATGGACGAAATGGACTGTGTGTAAGTTCTGAACCCCGTAATGGGTTAAGAACAGAAGCTTCATTCTCTTCATCACCACTAGTTTACTTCCAGCTGAGGCAAACAGCTTAACCCTATTCACCTCCAGCAGGAATTCATGATAAAGGACCTAGAAGCATCTTGAAGTGTGCTTAAAGTGTAAAGACCTTTCGGGGGCAGAACAAAAGGATAAAGGTAAACTTGGCCTAAATTAGGTAAATAGTATGAAACTTTAAATACAGATACACAAACACTCCTAACTACAGCTCCACACCTGGGATGGGGCCCTTCAGCTAGAGGGATATTTCGAAGTACTCAGTAATATCAGTAATGACTGTAACTGTTATGAAATGACAGACTGATAGCCACTTGCAGGACTTTTATCATGAGTGGATTAGAAAATTATGCTAAGGAACAAAGGAGAAAAACTTGTGGAAAACAACGCTGAGGCTGAGGGGAGTCTGTGGAGAGTTGCCAGAAGACAGAGCTGATGGTTAGAGTTCACCGAACCTGCTTAACCAAGGGCATCTCTCAGGTGGCAGGAGTTCAGCTCAGGCAAGCAGCCAAAGGTCCTCAGAAAAGACCATCCTGGACCCACAATGCACTGTGGGAACCAGCTATGCCAGGTGTGAGGCATGAGCGTGCACCTCTGACCATCATCCCTGCTCAGGAAGGAGGTGCTGAGTAGGCAGCATCTGAATGTTTATATTTATATTCACTCTTCACTTTTGCAAGTCTTGGCGCTGTGCCTGACCATTTCACAAATTATCTCAGAGTTTAATTATTCAATTATAGGATAAAAAATTATCCCTGATGTCTTGATGCCCTTGTCTAGCCTGGATTAATACTTAGTCCATAGGCACACACCTGATCATCTGATCATCTACATTTGCCTTCTTACAGCACTAAACTATGTTTTCTACCTTTATCTTGCATCTACCTACCACTTCAGCATTTTATTAAAAATAAAAATAATAATAATAATAGGAGAAATGTGGGATCAACATATAAATCAAGTACAAAAATCAAACGAATATTCATATTTGACCTGATTGTTTATAGTTCATAATGCGTGATCAAAACCGAAAGTTTCTGTGATGAATGCCCTTGTACTGTTCACCATGTAAGAATTTATTCACTATGTAAGAATTTGTTCACCATGTAAGAACTTGTTCGTTATGCTTCAGAAGATTGGAGACTGTTGAGAATTAGGCTTGGGGTTGATTAATGATTGTGCATTGAGTCCCCTGTACAGAATTTTATTGTTGTTAAAACCCATTTGATCAATAAATATGAGAGATGCCCTCTCAAAAAAAAAAAAAAAAATTATCCCTGCCCAATGTTTCAGGGCTTGCTCTTCCTTCCAGAAACAGCTCTTCCTGTCTCCACTGCCCCCCAGGAACCTGCCCGCACACTGTGTGGTAGTGGTGCCCACACTGGACTGTGGACCATTTCATCTGTGACAATACAAGAAAATGAAGAACAAAGCAGGAAGTTTATAGTTAAGCTGGATATATTTAATTTGAAGAAGTATCCTTTACTCTGATGTAATGATTGTAGATTTTATTCCATCCTATGCTGGTGTAAGAAATACCCGAAGTCTCTGCTCATTAGAATGGAAATCTCAGTTCAGTTTTAATGGTCTTCTTCCCTCCCCTAAAGTCACACAAAAATCCAAGGGGTTTACATAGTGCCTGGAAAATGGATGTATAGGGTTCTAGTTGAGGCCAAGTGGTGAATAAGGTACCTTGTGCCTTTAAACAATGGGATCATTTGTAAAGCAATTTTTATTGTGTAGCTGGGCTTGTGGGAAGGGAAATCTCCAAGGACCACAAAACAAAAGAAAACATAGGTACAGTCGGTGGACAGGAAAGGTGGAGTTGCCCTAAGGGCAAATGTCAATATTAGCATCACATTCGGAAAGTTAAATTTAAAGCCAGGGACAAGGTAAGGCAACCAGACATTCTGGTAAACTAGGGACCTGGGAAGGGGCTGATCTGGTTCCAAGTTGGTATCCTTCTGGACCTAGAAGCAAACGCAAATCCTCTTTGGAGGAAGGTACCCTCCGTTTCTAACCCCAGCATGCATCCTCCCCCGTTAATGCAAGAGAAAGTGGTGCTGAGTCTGAGGATGGAGTGGAGGCAGGAGAAGGTGAGTCTTGGGGGGCACCCAGGCCCACAGCTCAGACCAGATCTCCCAGCCCCTGCCTGGCCCTGGTGAGGGTCCAGCAGCATGCCTTGGCCACGGATGTGAGCATACCGGGGAGGTCCCTGTCTCCACCGGAACTGTCAGGCCACCACTGCAGGCTCCAGGGCTGACAAAGGCTTGCAGGACGGGCTGAGGCATGCAGGAGGAGAGCGTGGGGAGGTCCCGGAGAGCTCTGGAGTCTGGCAGGTGAGCTCAAGCTGGAGCACAAAGCTTATTGAGTTGGTGCAAATCCAGCCATTCAGATTCACAGCAGGCCTGGCCTGGAGGGCATTCTGCCCCTAGACTGAGATGAACTTTGAAAAGTCAAGCTTCTCATCTGATATGTGTGTGGGGGGGGCCTGGGAACATGTCCCCCTCCAGGTCCGGGGAAGGGGCTTCATCTTCCTCTGAAGTCTGTAAAGAATAGTGGGGGATGAAAAGCAGAGCCCAGCTAGGGGTCCTCCAGGTAGCTGCTGGGTCCTCCCCAGCCTTTTCCACAGTTCTAGTGCTCTGTCCATCAGGACAAGTTCTCCTCCCCAGAACCCCCAAGCTTTGTTTAACTCATGCCCCCCCCAGCCCCCAATACCACCCATCCCCTGGGAGAACATCCTTATGGCTGCAGGCCAGGTTCTGGCTGCGGATGTTGGAATCCTGCCCACCCAGAGTTGTTAAAACTGTGGTTCCCAATAAGCTATTCAAGAATTTTCTGGATCAGGAAAAAGAGGATGTAAAGTTACGAGCCCTGGCTTTCCAAGTGGAACGGCCTAGGCCCATGGTTATGATGGGTGGGTGCCAGGGCACAGGGTTGGGGGAGCAGAAGCAGAAGAAAGGGCCCTCCCCCACTTGCCCGCATTGCCAGTGAGGAGCGAGGCTGGGTGGCTCCAGACCCCAGGGCCCTCTGTCCACACCTGGCTTAGGCACTGGATCTCCATGTGGCGGCTGGCAGAGGGCTTCAGGCTGGCATGGGGCCCAGTGGGCCCTGCAAGATTGATCAAGGCATACTCTGGGATGTAGCTCTTCCCTAGAGGCTGAAACAGACTGGGTTAGAACAGCCCTTTCTTAGCAGCAGTGGTGGTCTGCGAGCCGTAGCGAGAGGAGGGAAACGCAGGGCGGGGTGGCTGCCCAGGCACAGTCCTTAGGCCCAATTTCTTACCCCTCAGTGTGACCTTGGGCAAGCCGCCTAACCTCTCTGAGGCTCAGTTTTATCAGCTGTAAAATGGGCATAAGAAGTTTTCCCTGAGGGTTATAATGAATATTCATGATAATGTTTTACCACTCAACAACAGGGAACTCTAGGAATAATTCATTTGTTTTCTTTATTGCTGTTTCTATCCTTTAAGCAGAAAGAACATGCAGGCTGCAGGAACTATGTAAGAGGCCCAGAGAGCAGAGTCGGACACCTCAAGGACTCATGGAATAGCCGACAGCACAGGACAAAGTCTTCAGAGATCATCAGTCTGAGCGACCCCTCCTCAATCAGATGAGGGAACCAAGGCCCGGGGAGGAGCGGCGGGGGCCAGAGTGCCCCCTGGCCCAGGCCTGGCTGCTCCCGTGGGTCCTGCGGTCGGGAACACCGGGCTCCTCCATCTCCCGCTCCCTCGCGCCAGCCGCTGGGCAGAGCTGAGGCTGGGGCCAGCTGAGGCCTCCGCCGAGGCCCCCAAGGACACAGCTGCCCTGAGGTGCCCCAGCCAGCAAGTCCCATGGCCCGACGGGCACTGAAACCAAAGAAAGAAGCTCCCATTTTCTGGACACCTACTGGGGGGCATCTCATCTCTCTCTCTCTCTCTGGCCACAGCCCCGTGAGATGGGAAAACCGAGGCTCAGAGAGGTGATATAATTTGCCGGACATCACACAGCTGGCGAGTGGCTGAGCTGAGGTCTGTCCGGAGACTCTCTGATCCTAGACCCAAGCTCTTTTCCTATAGCTGCCATCCTGGTAAGGCAGGCCGCACACTTGTCTTTGTCTCAGTGTCCCTTGTCTACCAGCTGGACCCCTGCTTCTGTCAGTTCCCTGGCTGCAGGGGATGGGGGCAGAGGTGGCTGTTGGAGTCATTCCTTTGTGAGCTGTCACTTGGTGGATGAGGAGCCGAGGGACTAGGGAAGGGGGAAGGATATTTCACAAATGCTGTCACTCATGGCCACTCTCTCTCCCAGCCAGGCTGTGGTAAGGACGTGCCAGAGCTGGGGCTAGCCCAGAGCGCCCCTGACATGAGATCCATTTCCCATGAATCCCATATTTGCAGGTTTGTGATTTGGACAAAACCCAGCCACTGCTGACCACTGGCCTCCAGCAGCCACAGAAGTGTCACCTACTCAAGGATGACTGAATTTAAGCCAAGACCCTCATGGGGCAGAGAGCAAACCACACACATAGGCAGTGGCCAGAACTACTACCCTGTGTCCAATATACATTTCTCATTGGTCCCTCTGCCCACGCGGATAATTGGCCTGTTTCAGGTGGTGCAGAGGCATATTCTGGGTGGTTGAATATACAAGGTATACCCGAGCGCCTCTGCTTCTTGGCAATAGAAAAATAGTAGCAGAGAAGCAAGGAAGCTTTGGGAAGCGAGAGTCAAGTCCTGATGTAAGCCCAGCACTCCCACTTGGGCTATACCGGGACTCAGGGGCCACGGCCGCCCCACGTTCATGGACTGAGGATGGCTCTTTCTCCTGAGTCTGGGAGAAGAATCCTGAGCCGAAGAGTAGGCTCCATTCCTCAGACCCCTTGTATTTCAGTGTGGAGAGGTGGAGGAAGCCCAGGGCATTGAGTCAGTCCCACGGACCTCAGCTGGTTTTCATTCTGCCTCTTTAGGGCTGGGTCGCTGTTGGCAAGTTACTTATCCTCTCTGAGCCTCTATTTCTGATTCTGTAAGAAGGGGGAGATAAGAATACCCACCTCACCATTTGACCCAGGAATTCCACTCCTAGGAATTTACCCTAAGAATGCAGCAGCCCAGTGTGAAAAAGAAATATGCACCCCTATGTTTATCGCGGCACTATTTACAATAGCCAAGAAATGGAAGCAACCTAAGTGTCCTTCAGGAGATGAATGGATAAAGAAGATGTGGTACATATACACAATGGAATACTATTCAGCCATAAGAAGAAAACAAACCCTACCATTTGCAACAGCATGGATGGAGCTAGAGAGTATTATGCTAGTGAAATAAGCCAGGCAGAAAAAGACAAGTTTCAAATGATTTCACTCATCTGTGGAATATAAGAACAAAGAAAAAACTGAAGGAACAAAACAACAGCAGAAACACAGAACCCAAGAATGGACTAACAGTTACCGAAGGGAAAGGGACTGGGGAGGATGGGTGGGAAGGGAGGGATAAGAGGGGGGAAAGAAAGGGGGCATTATGATTAGCATGTACAATGTGGGGGGTGGCACAGGGAGGGCTGTGCAACACAGAGAAGACAAGTAGTGATTCTACAGCATCTAACTACACTGATGGACAGTGACTATAATGGGGTTTGTTGGGGGGACTTGGTGATGGGGGGAGTCTAGTAAACATAATGTTCCTCATGTAATTGTTGATTAATTATACAAAAAAAAAAAGATTACCTACCTCATGTAGGAGTTAGGAAGATTCAATGAGAAATGTAAAGCCTCTGGCACATAGTAGGTGTTCAATAAAAGAGTAGGTGAGCTTCTAGCAATAGCTGTCTTGGGAAGGACAATGCTGGTCTGACCCCTAGCACTTCCTTCTGAGTTTTTACACCCCCAGGGCTCTCTGGCAGTGAGAGTGGAGTGTCCCCTTTCCTCTTTCACTGACTGTGGGCAAAGAAAACCCCAAACCTTTTAAATTCCACCTCCAGACTCTGCTAAAAACTACAGAAAAGCCAGAAAGGAAATAAACAGAAAAGCCAAAGCTCTCATCTGGTCATGCTCACAGGGTTTGTGTCTGATCCCCTCCGGAGACCCTGTTCCATCTTTCTCCCAGAAAGAGGCAGTCCCTCCACCCCAGCCCCTCTGCCCTGGCCCTGTGCCCATTTCTGCCCCTTCCCACACAAACAGGGGCAGGGACAGGTGCCTCGGCCGGAAGCAGTCCAAGGCAGCCCTTCCCAGTGTGTGCTGGACGACAGTAGGGCAGGGAGATGCAGCCGGTGCAGCCCCCAGGTGTCCCCACAGCACAGCGGAGGTTCTCCCCCAACACTGCCCTTCCTCCGGAGTTCGTGGGGGTGAGCCCCAGGACACACAACCAGGAGGCTGACTCTGGAGGTGGCCAGTGGCAGCGCCACCCCCATTGCCTCCATGACTGTCCTTTCATTCCTGTCCGCCGCCACCTTTGGCCTTGTTGAGCTTCGTGAGACAACAACAGCTGCTTCCTAAGCCGAAGCCCAGGACCCCATTCCTGCCTAGCACCTCCCCAGAGGGATCTAGCCTGTCTTTTGTCCTTGCAGGCGCCAGGAAACAGGGTGATGGAAGCTCCCCTTTCCTGCTCTCATGGTTAAGAGGGTCAGAGTGAAGGCATCTCAGTAAACCTCCAAGGGAAGAGGGGCTGGGTGGAGAACTGGGCGAGGCAGGAGGGGCTTCTGATTCCTGAGCCCACGACTCTGCTGTCCTGTCCTTATGCAGAAGTGCCAGCGTGGGAAGGGACAGTCTCTCTGCAGGGATCAGGGAAGGGCCCACTGCTGGTAGCCTCAGAACAGGTCCCCTTCTCCAGGAAGGTGGATGGGCAAGGGACCCCCCTTCCCTCTGACCCTGTGATCGCCAGAGCACCACCCTCAGCCTGGGTCCCAGGGCAGCCATGCCACCTTGGTCTCAGAGCCAAGCAAAGCTTAGGGGGTTTTGGAAAGAGGAGAGCTGGGAGTTGAGAAACCTGGGTCCTGCTCTCTCTGTGGGCCACCATCTGCTGTGACCTTGGGCTTTTACCCTCCCTGAGCCTCAGTTTCCTCTTCTGCAAAAGCAGACTAGAGTCTGTAGTTGTGACACCAGGGTTGCTGAATCCCCAGGGACAGTGCTTAAGACTCAGGTGCTTGGGCCCTGCCCCTAGAGCTCTGGGCTGGGACTGGCATCAAGAGAATGTATTTCTAACTCTCCCCACCGCAGATGTTCTGAAAGGGGGTTTGCATCAAACTCAGAGAAAGTCTGGACTAGGTGATCTTGAAGGCTCCTTTGGACCCAGCTCTGCTGTTCTCTGGTTCTAAAAGGAGGATGGGAAGATGGTGCTGGTCCTGGGACTGAGCCCTGCCTGGCACCTGGGGGGATGCCAGGATAAGGGGGGTTCTCTGTTGGCCTGCACCCAGAATGGCTGATCTCAGGGCTCATACAAATTCCCTGGAGGTGGGAAGCAAGGCCCGCTTCAAGGTCAACCATGGAGGACCAGGTAGGGAGGCCCAGACGGAAGGCCCAGGAAGTCAGGACTTCCAGCCCTGTGGGGATCTGGACGTGGCTTCAACCTGCCTCTCTCCTTACCAAGTGTGAGAGTTGGACCTTCTTGTTCCTCTGTGCCTCTGTGGCCAGTTGAGCTGAAAGAGAGCAGAAAGAACAGCTTAAGGCAGGAGTAGCCAGAAGCAGCCTGCAGCTGCTGCCACAGAGGCAGAGTTGGGAACAGGAGCTTCCCAGAGGGGGTTGGCAGGCAGGCTGCACAGAGAAGCCCTTTCCAGCTCAGCCCCTTGGCAGCTTTTTGAAATCAGTATTTGGCAATCCCCCCATGTGGGCCAGAAACTGGCTGGGGAAGGAATTCTGTGTACTAAGGCTGTTGCTTCTTTTATTTATTTGTTTGTTTGTTTATTTTATTTTGGTATCATTAATATACAATTACATGAGCAACACTGTGGTTGCTAGATTCCCCCCATTATCAAGTCCCCACCACATACCCCATTACAGTCACTGTCCATCAGGCTATTGCTTCTTAAACCTCAAAGTACACATACGACCCCAGGAAATGTCATTAAAATGCAAATTCTAATTCGGGAGGTTGGGGGTGGGGCCTTAGAGTCTGCATTTCTAACAGGCTGCTAGGGGATGTCACTGTTGCTAAAGGGACCACAGTTTGAGAGGCAAGGGGCTGAGAGGCTCTGAGGTTGTGACTAGGATGCTTCCACCCTGTGGGCTCCTCTCTGACTCCTAGGAGGGAACCTGGAGATACGGGGAAAGCTACGTTTCTTCCTAGGGAGTTGGGAGGCAGGTCCAGGACCCCCCCCACCCCCCCGGCCACCTGCCGGGGATGCCATTGCTAATCTGCAAAGTCCTTCTGCACACATCTCCCTGGCCCCACCTCTACGGAGCTATGCAAACCCAGGGCAAGCTGCTGAACCATGCTGTGCCTGTTTCTTCCCCTGTAAGAGGGGGATGCTTGCAATAAGTAGTTCCTAACTCCACAGTTTGAGGACATAAAAGGAGATAAAAGAAACACACTACACCACAGTGCCTGCTACAAGGTCGCGCCTATTACTGTTATTTCAGTCAGCCCTCTAATCTGCCACCCACCGCAGGAGCCATGAACCACACAAGGCCACTGAGCACTGGAAATGTGACTTCTCTGAATTACACTGACTCAATATCTCAGTATCAAAGCCTCAATATGTAGAATAAGTATCAGTAATCTTTTTACATTGATTCCATGTTGAAATGATAATGTTTTGAACATTATGTTAAATAAAGTATATTATTAAAATTAACTTCACTAGTTTCTCTTTACTCTTTCCGTGTGGCTATTTAAAAGATGTATGTGGCTCGTATTCTATTTCTATATCTGTGATTGGAGGTAGCTGAGGCTTGGAGAAGTTAGGTGACTTGCTTAAAGTCACACAACTAGAAAGCAGCAGAGCTGGGATTTGAAGCCAACCCTCGGAAGGGGCTGTGGAGACCCAGCGGCAGGTGTAGGGCCACAATGCCTATCTTGCTCAAGTTCAACTGCTTGGTCCTGAACTCCCTGCTGTTGTCAGTCCTCACACGAGGGGCTGGACCTGCAGAGACTGGACATGGATTCTCTGGGATCAGTAGGGAGAGAAGTGACTGATGAGCTCAAACAGACATGAGTGAGCCGAGAGCCCCTGATCCTCCCACTTACCCGTCTGGGTTGCTTTTCCCTAATGCTGACTGCCCTGCGGTTCCCTCAGAGATGCCTGTATCTCGGACGGACACAGCGACCCACAAGGGGCTGTGGGGAGATGGCAGTGAAGTCTTGGGCTGAGAGCTTCCCACCTGCTCTTGTCTGTTTGCTCACCTTCCTTCCTCCACCGGAACACGCAGCTGCCAAGGGCAGCCAGGCCTGCGGCCAGCAGAAGGGTCAGCAGCACCAGGACTGGGGCCAAGATTCGGATCATTGGGACATGCACCCTGCAGAGGAGATGGAAGGAGCTCGGGGGCTGTCACCAGATATCAGTGGCATGCCGTGCACCATGGCATTCTTATTCTGAGCCCCAGCTCCGTCCCTTGTCTTTCCCAAGGAGATTAGAGGGCACCAAGGACCATAACACCTGGTCATTCCCAATGGAAGGGACCCCAGCCCCCACTGCCAACCCCAGGGGGCACTTTCAGCTGGGTTCTGAACTTGCCAGCAGTTAGCCGGAGTCGGCAACTGAGTGCAGCTATAATATAATCCCTGTCCTTCAGGCTGGGACTCCAGTTGGGTAAGAAAAAACCTTTTTTTCATTCCATATGTTCATCTTGGCACAGGGCCTAGTGCTGAGTGTACAGGTGAAAGCTACTGAACTGGGGTGGCTGTTCCTCAGTCTGAGGCATGGAGAGAGGTGGGAACAGGGGCCATGGTGACCCCCGCATGTCCAGGCCACCAGGGCTGCTGGCCCCTGTAGTGCAGGTAGTTCACTGCTCAAGGGCCCTGCCAGGGGAATGGGAGCTGAATCTGCCCTCTGCTCTGTGTGCTACCAGGACAAGAGGTGTGTTGACCTAGATGAGTGAGTGCTGGGTCCTTTTTTGCTCAAAAGCACCATACAGTTTGGTGATGGCCCAGAAGGTGACCTTGGTCACCTGGGACTCACCTGGACTTGGAGCTGCTGCTGGGGACAACACCGGCGTCTCCTGCTGAGGTGGGGTCCAGCGGTGAGGCTGGACGGGAGGTCCCTGCATGAGGAGAGTTTGCTTCATGAGGAGAGGTCTCTGCAGATGGAGAGGTTCCTATGTGCGGGGAGGTCCCTGCGTGCCAGTGCAGGGAGGTCCCTGCGAATGGAGAGGCCTCGGCCCCTGTCTTCCCCTGCTGCGCTGTGGTGACTGTTGCGTGGAGACCAGGAGAAGCTAGAAGTCCAAAAGCAAGGCCTCAGCACCTTCCCTGACCCTTGAATCCCGGCATCCCCAGACTTCTGAGCTGAGGCCCTTGAACCCAAGCCTCCCTGGGACCAGTTTCTCAGAACATCCCCAGCTACAGGATACCCCAGGAAGTCAACAGAGGCCTAGACGAAGTCATTTTGAGCAAACAAGCCACATCTCAGGCACACCCCACACCAGGGCATAGTTTTCAGCCCCTTTTTGTGCCTGCAGCCTTTCTGCCCTCCTGCTAGAGTCCTGGCCAATTGTCTCTGCCCTCACCAGAAAGTCCTATGTCACCATCACATGACCACCCTCACCACCTATGCCTCAGCAGGCCATGACCTCCTTCCCCAGCCATTGGGTGTCAGAGACAGGTCCAGAGGGCAGGGTCTGAGGCCCAGCCTTTCCTGCCCACCCTCAGACCCCAGGGGTATACAGAGCCTGAGCTTGTGGTCAAGCTGTGCCTACTCCCTGGCTGGGCTGCTTCCTGTGGGACCTTGAGCCAACCGTCTAACTGCTGAGCCTCCAGTCCTCAGCCAAAGTCCAGCTCCCGGGCTGTGGGGGCCACACAGTGGAGCATCTGGCACCAGGCTGGCACTCGCTGGGTGTTTCTCTATAAAGCCAAGGGGGAAGGACAGAAAAAGCATTCACTCACTCAATCCTGGGGGCTGAGTTTGCCAAGCTTTTGCCTTGGGCTGGAGGCTGGTTGTAGCAAGAGGCTGAAAGGAGGGAGCTGGGGAGGGAGGACAGCAGGGACCTAGAGGGAAGGGAGAAGCTAGTCTCAGGTGGACAAGGGTCATGGCTCTGGGCTGGACGTCCTCCCTGGGAGCAGCCAGCGGCGTTCCCACCCCCAGTCTCGGCTCAGAGCAGCGTCATCTCCTCCCCTCAGCTACCTGGAGCCACTGATGATAGATTCCAGCTGATTGCTGGCCTTTCCCTCCTGTGGTCCCCGTGGCCTCCCACTCAGACCTTCAGTATCCCTTGTGCCCAGCTGCTCACCAGCCTGCCCTTTCTGGGCCACCCTTCCTGATGCCAGTTTTGTCTCTGAAATATATATTGCATCCTATCACTTCCTGCATCAGAACAGTCAATGCCCGCGCCTGTCCCCCATTGCCTATAAGCTGACCGCCCCCCCACACTGCCTATAACCTGAAGTTCAAACATTTTAGCACACCTTTCAAGGCCTTTTAAGCTCAGTCTTCAACCCACCTTGTAGGTTTCACCTCTTCCCCATTCAGGCCGCCAGCCAGAGTTGTTCTTCATTCCCAGTTAAGCGAGCCTCCTGCAAACCTCCATGCCTTGACATGCTGTTCCTCTCTGTGCCATGCCTGTCCTTTCCATCTATGTTTAACACATTTCTTTCTGCCCTAGGGCACCAGCTCAAAAGTTAACTCCTCCATAATGCTTTCCCCAGAAGGAGCAAAGCCTTCATCCTTTTCACACCCACAGGACTTAGAGCGTGCCGCCGGCCGAGCTAATACTCATTGATGCTGGAACAAGTTGTTTACTGGGACACTCACAAGGGTAAAATGCCTCACCTCTGTGCTCAGCACAGTGGGCAGAAACCTGGTGTGGCCAACCCCCCAAGAGCCACTCCCCAACCCCCCATGCCCATCATTCACCTCGTCTGTCTTATGAGCCATCCTGGACTCTCCCCTATCCCTCCATCTCTATTCTAATTCTAGGTCAGTTTTCTCCGATTATTCTGAGTAAATGACTAAATTTCCAGCAAATAAAGAGAATTTATCTTTTCCTTTCCAATATTTATACTTCTTTACCCTGTCATATTTCATTACCTAGGACCTCCAGGCAACAGGGAATGAAAGAAATGATAGTGGGCGCTCTCGCCTTGTTCTGAACTTCCTAGACATTTTGGTGTTTCATGCTGCTCAGTGGTGGGCTGGAGATGGCTCACACTCGCTCCAAAGAGCTGATGGTTAACTTTTCAGGAACTTTGTGAGCCTATTGTTAAAGTGTGGGTGGCTGGAAACTGACAGTGGCACCACAGAAACTGGCAAACACTACAGATCAGAGCCTCCCCAGCCAGCTGGAATGTTCACCAGCACACCACTGCCATTCATCTTCTTTATTTTCAGTATCCCAACTGTCAACAGAGAGAGGTCAGCAAGGTCTGATACAGGTGGGTAACATAATAATGCATACATTGTACACAAATAAATAATTACAATTGAGAGTAAGAATGAAAACAGGAAAGGCTCAAATATAGGTAAAATTGATCACCACTAGGTAAAAACGAGGTCAGAATACTGATAAGAACTGGAGGCAATCAGGGAATCATGGAGAACAGGTTCAATGTGGTTTTGATGCCGCCGTATCATTTGGTGTTTACCTTTATTTCACTGAATTAAAGACCTATGGATCATGGGGATCTGGCAGTGGGAATGTGCCTGGGGATGGGATGGGTCCCAGCTGGGGGCCAGGAGAGAGAAAGAACAGACACCACAGCCAGAAATGACCTGCATTTGAATTGTGGCTCCACCACTTCCGACCGTGAGACCTGGGCCAAATCATTTCATCTCTCAGAGCCTCAGTGCCCCCGTCTCTGAAATGGTATGCAAAGGCCTACCTCACCCCGACTGACTGGCAGACTGGGGTGGCCCACTCCCCAGGGCCTTCTCTGGTTTCTCTGTCCTCAGCTCAGCAGGTCTAGGTGGGATCATGGGCAGTCAGAGACATGCTCCAGCCCCAGTTGCCTGTCCCTGAACTCAACCAGCACCTCCGAGGCCAGTTCTCAGGCATTCCAAGATCCGGGGAAGAGGAGGCAAGGGAGGAGAGCTGGGGCCACAGGCAGGGTGAGGCAGTATGGCCGTGGTGTAGGTGATGCTGTGGGGCTGGGTGGGGATGCAGCAGTGGGGGGCCTAGCTTGAGCAATCCTCAGGGATCTCTCTGACTCCAGGGAGGGAGTCTTTTTATTCTGTGGAATGTCAGTCTTGTCCCTAGCCCACGGCAATCTGTCTGCCACATATGGGCAGAGAGGAAAGGCACTGAGTGTGGGGTTTGACACATCTGGGTTCAGTCTTGCTCTGCCACCTACTAGCACTGGGACCTTGGGCAGGGAGAGTGAGAGAGCAGCTGAGGCCCGTATGGCCAAGCTGTGCCCCAGCAGCAGCTGAGCACCTTGACTTGCCTCCTCTCCCTGCGTCCTGCAGGTCTCTGGTGAGGTTGATATGAGCATTACACCCCCTTGTGATGGGGAAACTGGCCCCACTGCTCATCACCCACCCACCCCTCCCTCTTCCCCTCTGCATCTCCTGTGCCCTAGCCAGGGACGGAGAAACATTTATTACCTGGAAAGATGAGAAGAGAGACCATGAAAGTCTCATCAGGGCCCAATTTTTTGACCCCACAGAAATAATTCCCAGCGTCTTGCAGAGTGAGGTTCCTCAGGGTCACTTTGAGTGTGAGCTCCTGGGGTCTGTCTTGGATGGACACCCTGCCCTCCGTCCTCTCCTGGCCATCTCCTTCCACATAGATAGCACCAGAGCAGCGGGAGAAAAGGAACCCTCTCCTCCTGCACCAATATTTTTTGTATGTCCTCAGTTCCTCCTTATAGATGCACTGCAGAGATACAGTGTCACCTTCAAATCCTCTGATCTCCTTCGGGCCCATCAGGGCTCTACAACCTGAAACACAGCAAGGATGAAGTTGGAATTCCCTGGATTCAAGCACCAGGGACAAGACCAGAAGACACCTCCTCAGTCACTGCTTTCTGGGGTCAGCCCTTTAAGAACTGGTACTCCCCTCCCCTGCCACAGGTCCTCTGGACTGGACTGCACTGTTTGCTTAATGCTGGTGCATTGAAGGGTGGTGATGGAGAAAAGCTCTAGATTTGGACAGCCTGGAGTTTGAATTCCAGCTCTGCCACTAAGCTGTGTGATCTCGGAGAAGTTTCTTGACCTCTCTGGTCTCTGAGTTTGCTCATCTGTAGATGATAATGTCCTATTCATTGAATTGAAGATGCTCTCATTTGTAAGCTACACCATAATTTGATGTACCACTAAGAAAAGACATTGTAACTTGAAAAAATGACATGAGTTGTAAGACATATCCTGAATTTTTATGTTAAAAGTCAAAAAAGAAACAAGGCAGGCCTGTGAATTGATAAACAGGGTTAATTCTTTATCTCTCAGGGATGTTGTGAGTGGTTTAGTGAGGTTCGAGAAGTACTTGCTGAGTTTAACATGGCAACCACATAGAGGGTGTCTTGTCTGCCTCCACGCTGGGCACAGAATAGGAAAACAAGAACCAGAGAGGGAAGTCTCCCTCACAGCCACACAGCCATGAAGGGGCTGGGACCCACAGGTCCAGAGAAAACGTGGCTCCTGGCCGTCACCTGAGGGCTAAGGACTAGTTCCAGGGGGGTGAAGCCTGGAGGGATCAGGCGGGTGCACTAGTTCACAAAAAGGAAATGTAGATACAGGAGGTCCTCTCTCTGCAGACCCAAGGGCCAGCTTGGTCATGAGCTCCACATCCCTCCACTCCCGTCCTCCACATCCCCATCTTACCTGGGATCAGGAGACAGCCCCACAGCAGGGTGAGGGGCTGCATGGTGCTCGCTAGACACTCAGGAGCACACACAGGACGCGGAGAGCTCCTCTCAGGGCCAAGTGGGCTTTCACTTCCCCCAATGCTCCGGATCAGGACAAGGAAGTCAGGGAGGAGCCGTGAGGGTCACCCATCTGTGGCCAGTGGGGAAGGGAGGCGCCTCTGCCTTTCCCTTTACTTACACTGGGTGGGGTGTGGGGGCCCACCCATCCCGTGCCTGAAAACCCACGTGAGCTCTTCTTCCAAACCCATGCCCCCTCTAGGGGGTCGTAACCCTGCCCATGGCCCTGTGCCCCACAGGGTGTGTGTTTGACATTCAGGGAGTCCATGAATCTGGATGGGAAAACATTATATAGTCCCCTAACCTTTAAGTAATATCTTCTCCTGTCATGAGGGCTAGCTGGGCCTCTGACTTTGTCACCAATACAAACCACAGACACTAGCACATCAAGTTGTCACTGATAGCTCGAAATATCGTATATACTCCTCAATACTTGGAAAATAATTAGTTACTAGACTGCCACTAGAGCTGGTTATTAAAGAGCCACTGAAGCATGTTTATTGTTATATAATACAAGTATAAATGCTTTGATAACCACTTCAATAATATTGGTTTTCTTTTAAGGGAATGTATTTTATTTTATATATTTAAGAGACCATTATTCTGAGAGGGTCCATATGCTTCACCACATTGCCAAGCGGAGTCGGACAGAGGTTAAGGGCCTCTGCGGCAGAGCCCACTGTCCCCCCTAGTCAACAGTCCCCCCCGCAGTACCGCCCTTGGCCACGGGGCGGCGCTGCAGACGGGAATGAAGGAAGCTGAAGGACAGGACAGAGCGGAATACCTGGAGCCACCTGCAGGCCGCGCTGCAAAGCTGGTCTCCCCGCACGCCCTGAGTTGGCTTAGCAGCTAAGAAAGTGAGTTTGCCATTTCCTACCTCAGAATTGAATCCTCTTTGAAAGGTGCAAAACAAACATTCACAGTCGAGGGATCCCTGGCACACGGTTTTCCAAAATAATTGTCGGGTTTTCTCCTGAATGCAAAGTTCATATAGATTGTAAGCAAATTTTACACAATACGGAAACGTTAAAAAAAAAAAAGGAAAGAAAGAAAAAGAGTGGAAACATTTCCTATAGTTTCCTTTATACGTTAGAAAACCACTGCTAGCATTTTGGCATTTTACCCACTTGGCGGGTTAATATCTGGAGCATTATTAACTCAGTGGTTCTGGGAGAGCAGATTTTGTGTGTGTGTGTGTGTGTGTGTGTGTGTGTGTGTGTGTGTGTGTGTGTGTGTGTGTGTGTGTGTGTGTGTGTGTGTGTGATTCTGGTAATGTGGAGAGTTGTGCTTTAATTGAAGGGCACTGCTGGCAATGAATGCACAGGGGCATAAGTTCCCATTGGTTGAAACGCTTTTACAATGATCTCAGCCCAAAACTTGTCACACATACAAACTACAAAAGGTAATGGGAGGAATCTAGTAACCACAATGTTGCTCATGTGATTATATATTAATGATACCAAAAAAACCCGACAAAAGGTAATCAGTTGCTGCAGTTATAAAAACACATTCAGATAATATTTATTACAGCGTTTGATAGTATATTTCTGCTCTTTTTTTTGGTGAGGTGGGTCTTTATACAGAATAATTTCTGATCTTACTTTTTTTTCTTCTAAAGAGGCAGGCTGCCCCACGCAGCGCCTCATCTGGATGTGTCTGGAGTCTTGGAAGCTTGACAACACTTATGTTCTCCTACAAAAGGACCTTGAGAGCTTGTTTGGAGATTCGAGCAGGGAGACGCATTTCCTCATATACCATTGATGGAGGAACTCTCCTCCTCTGTGGGGGAAGGTTGTCCTCTTCCACCAAGCTCACAGTTTAGGGATGGACACCCACGGGGCTGTGAGGGAGGAAGGGCAGCCTGCCCAGCCAGCGGATCAGCCAAATCAACCCTGGCGATTGGTGGGATGGCAGATATCGCAGCCAGATCGCCCTCGCATCCCTTACTTTCCTTAAATCCTAACTTATTTATTACAAGCAGAGGGAAGCATCGGACACTTCATGAGGCTTTCTAGTGTCATGGGGCCTGAGCATTGATATTTTGAAACGTGTTATTTGGTTACAAATTTTTTTCCTTTCATTTTGTCCTCTATTACAGCTCAGGCATTATATTGCAATTGTTAAAAAGTAAGTGTGTGAAAGGGTATATTATTTATGATTATCATATGATAATTTCGGGAGAGTAAAAGAAGTGTTACCAAGATTTTATTTTTATGAAGAGGGTGTTGGGTCAACATGCATCATCTCTTCTCCCTTCATGTATATTGTGGGGTCCTCCCCCCCTCTGCCCCCCAGTCCCAAATCTAGCCAAGAGCTAGGCTTAAGGACTCCATTAGAAACAAACCTTCCTGGCCCAGAAGTGCTGCAATAATTGGGGAGAAGGAGAAGGGCCTGGAATGAGGCTCTGGTATGGGCTCTGCTCCTGATTTTACCCTATGGGTGTAAAGGGGGCAACAGAGAGTTGCCCCCTGGTGGGTTTGGGGATCCAAGAGGAGAGGACACTTGTGTCCTGTTCCCACCCAGAGAACTGAGAGTGTGTGTGTGTGTGGGGGGAGGGATGCCTCGCCATCATAGGATGGGAGAAAAGTGGAACAAAAGGGCTCCCGGACCTGTGGGCAGGCTCAGCACATCCTTATGGTATCTGTGAGCCTGAGAGTGGCCTGGCCACACCTCGAGGTGCCACAGCTGGGATGAGGGGATGTGTTGCACACATAGGGAGGAAGAAACATCCCCACTGGAGTCCACAGGAAGTCGGGGGGCCTCGGGAATCCAGCACAGGCAGACTTTCTAGTGTCATGAGGCTTTCTAGTGTCATGGGGCCTGAGCATTGATATTTTGAAATGTGTTATTTGGTTACAAATTGCTTTCCTTTTATTTTGTCCTCTATTACAGCTCAGGCATTATATTGCATTTGCATTGCACATGAAGGCTGCCCCCTACTCTCTAGGCCCTGATGGTCATTAAAGACCTCTAGGCCTGAGCGTGCTTTAGGGAGAAGTGTTTGATCTGAGTTCCCTGAGAGAACCAGGCTGTAAACTGAAGTCCCAGCTGCAGGGAAGAGGAGAAAGGCAGACAAAATCTGGCCAAAAAGGGCCCACTTAGTCATTCTGGTCCAGTTCCCCTCTGGATTGGACTTGCTCGGACTAAATCACTTCTGCTGATCTAAGATGCTCATTCATTTCCTTTAGATCAGGGTTTCTCAGCATCAGCACTACTGACGATTGGGCCAGATAATTCTTTGTTATGGGGGCTGTCCCGTGTGAATTATGGTATGTTTTGCAGCATCTCTGGTCTCTACCCACTAGATGCCAGTGGTCCTCTCCTTGCCCCCCAACTTGTGAAAGTCAAGGCAAAATTACTCTGGGTTGAGGATGATTGTCTTAGATGATGAATGAGTCTATGAAAAAAAATAAATTGTGTACGTTGTGTTTACACAGGTGCAGCAACAAGGTTTTAAATACAGGAGAGTAAGCTTCTAAATACTGAACCCCAGAATTAGGCAGACTTTCTGCAATCATGGGCAGTGCTAGAAAACCACAGGCTTCCTCCCACAATGGGGCTGGGGACATGCCTGTCACACTCAAGGCATGGAGTTTTCAAGATTTTTATGGTGACTGTTTTAAGGGCTTTTTACTTCTAGGAATGATAGTGAAATGATGGGGAAGGGCTGCAATGGAAGACAAGATAATTAGGGCCATCCTCCCCCAGAAGCTGTATGAAATAGACATATATTTAAGATTTTCTCAAAAACATGGAAAGATAAATGCCATGTGGTAACTTGGATTGGATCCCAGAACAGAGAAAGGATATTAGTGGAAAAACTAGTGAAATACCAATAAAGTCTGGAGTTTAGTTAGTAGTAAGGTGTCAGTGTTAATATCTTAGTTGTGAAAAATGTACATGGTTATATAAGATGTTACCATTAGGGGAAAGAAAGAGTGAAGAATATTCAGGGACTCAGTACTATCTTTGTAATTTTTCTATAAATCTAAAATTATTCCACAGTATAAAGTTAATTTAAAAAAAAGAAAAGTAAGCAGTGAAGAGCTAACGAGAGAATGAGGGATTAGCAGGCCAAGGTCTGGAAGTAGAAACCCAGAAAGGTGAGCTGGGCATGCAAAGTGCTTTTGTCCTTGGAAGCATTTAACTGATTCAGTAGCAGCAGCTATGGGGATGCGCTAGGAGGGTAAGGCCCTCCCAGAGTGGGCAATCTGGTGTATATATGTTTATCACCTTCGACTGGGACCCGAGGCTTTCTGTCCCAGGAAACTTCAAGCTTTGAAGTTGAATTAAAGATGGTCCTGGTCTGGTAACACCCTCCCTACTCCTACCCCCAGAGGCACCTTAGTGATACCAATGAAAAATCCTTTCTGGGGGAAAATAGCATCAGCTTAAGCCTCAGATTACTTTTAAAATCATTTTCTCAAATACAACCAAGAATATACAGTCAAGAATAACTGGACATATGAAGAGACAAGACTCCATAGGTGAGAATGTGCAGAGATAGGGGGCAGCAGAAACAGACAGACCCATGGAGACTCCAGACACTGATGATAACAGGAACAGCCTTGACACAACTATCCTCCCTACATTTAAGGAAGTATAAAGGTCAAGCTTGACATTTTCGGCAGGGAACTGGAAAGTATAAAAAATGACACAGCAGATTAGAAAAAGATCAGCATAAAATTTGGAACTGAAAAAATATGATAATTAAAATGAAGAATCCAATGGATAAGTTTCAGATTAGACACGGTTGGAATGAGAATAGCAAACTGAAAGATGTATCAGAAGAAACTATCCAGAATGAAGCACAGAGAAACCAAAGGACGGAAAACAGAGAAGGACAGTAAAGGAAATGGGGAATAAAGTGAGAAGGTCCAACGTACATTTTCTTGGGGACACAGAATGAAAGAAGACAGAGGTGGTGACACAGCAGTAATTAAACACTTGTGGAGAATGTTCCAAATGTGAAGGAATGCATGGTATGTTCTTTAATACATTTATGTGTGTGTGTGTTTATAATATGCAGAGTGCTAAAGCCTGTGGCCCAGGGC